AAGCACAAAGAATCATCATAGTCTAGAGCATATAAAATCGTTCATAGACTTGTGGCTCATACGACGTTCAACTGCTATATTGTAAAAAATATTTTCAATGTTATTTTTTTTTTTGTCATTTACTAATTTTTAGATAAACATATAGATTTTGTTTGGTTCATCGTTTTTGTGCAGAATAATGATTATCTATACATAATCTTCATGGATCTTTGAAGAAGGTTAATGCTTTGCACGAAAAGTCTTTCAAAGATTGAAAAGAGTTGCCCCTGAAAAAAAGTAACAGTTTAAAAGTCTGCTTTGAAAAACTACTCAAAATGTTTACTTTCACAAATTTAAGAGAAGGACTCTCGAACTATGTGATATTTTGTAAACAGTCTGTGTATTTAACATATAGAATCGATGTCTGTTTTAAGCTGACGGTATGTACCGCACGTACATACACACATTCAAGTTACACCGCCTAACTAAGTTCTACTGCTAGCTCGAGTAGCTTTAATCCTCAATTCAACATAACTGCACTCCACCGCCAGCAGAATGGTTTCATCTCCGCTTAAGCTCGGCTGTCCACATTAAATTTCTACTACGCTATCTTATTGACCGATCCTCCCGCCCCATCCGTAGCTTAGAGATTACCAGTGTACACGGTTGTGGGTGTTTAAAAGATCGACTCCAACGTTGTCAATTTGGATTGGATATGATCGAGTCGAAAGATCTGCGGGTCAGCGTGCACGCATGCACGCACGCACGCACGCATGCATGCTTGCATGGGGTAATTAGGTGGCAACGACGTGGCGGCATGGCGGGATTAACAGGTAGATTGCTAATCTATTTATTAATTCCCGCGGGAGTTAGTAGGTTAAACATGTCTTTGCCGACCACGTTTTCTGTGTACGCAACGCGCAATAGACTGACTGAAAAACACTTCCGCAATATAAAACGAAGAAGCCTACTGCAAAAGATGAAGTCACGAAAATATACATGTACATGCATATGAATCAGTAGTGCGCATAAACATAAGATGCACGCAGCCTACCCTGAAACACTTACGAAACATACGAGACTGACGCTGCCATCTTTCGCCTATAAGATCTTGTTTCTTTTAGATCTGTTAACTACATCTGAGATAGCTAGTCAGTGATAACACTGCCTAGCCAACCGTCTCCAAATACACCCACAGAACTAAAAACAGTAATGGTGATAGTCGTCAACGAATTAGTAGGAAAAAGTAGATTAGACGTAGGGAACTCCCATAGCCGAAATCAGATAAGCACAGTAAATGTGGGGGGACTATTGTATTCAACAATCGTGTAAATGCAATTCCCTTATCAAACAATCAAAATCAATTTGGAATCTAATTATCTAATCTTAATAGCACCCATTAATATTATAACAACCAACGTATTGCAGCGATAGACCGATAGTAACAACGATAATTCTAAGAAAGGGATAATAGCATATAGATAGGGTAGTAATTACTGTTATTTTTTATACTATAATGCGAATTATATGCTATACGATAGCACACTTTCCTAATATTGCTTTTGCCTACCATTCCCCCGTACGTGCATGACTGGCTCACATTCGATTAAGCGTATTTGAAGGAGATTCGACAAATTGAAGATATTTTTCATAAAAAAAAAAAATACGATCCTAGGTGAACTCCACGTGGTGTCGAGATCGCTTGTTAATTCGACTGTTTACTGATGCAAGGGTAAGTTTGTTTTTAATGAATAACAAAGACAGCAATTTTTAACGGTTTATTGTTAGACGATTATCGAATGCTTGCGAGATGCAACACCCACGATCATGTGGTGAGTCGTTTACACGACCTCCCCATAAGCGTTCTTCACGTTTGCTGATCAGCTTTCAGAGTCGTATTAGCAGGTATAACGATATAGATCGCAGGATCCCGCGAAGTTCCACTAGGTCAGTAACCTCCGCGTAGCTTGGCAGCGGTGGGCTAACATATGAAAGATTAGAGGGAAGAAGGCATTGATAGGATTCGGGGAACTGTGCGGTCAGGGAACCAACGTCGGCTAGACATCGGGACAGTTGATAGAAGGCGCAGGCTCATGCCCCCGCCCGCCCGCCCCCTATGCTACGCGCCCGGTCATTAACATCCTTCATTATGTGAGGTTTACACAAATCTGCGTCACTGACCGACCATTAATCATCGGCCCATCGTGTCCAGTTCCGTATTTAGCTCTGCGCTAGTAGCTTACTGGTGACCCAACTCTTATTTCTAGTGGTCAAAGACGTGGTGCACGGTTGACGCTTATTGTTGTGTGCTCTCGCTTACAGTAATCCTTTCGGCTTCAAACTGAGTTAACGTTTGCTTCTGTTTCACTATACTTTCAACCTATCTTGTAGAGCTTCGTGTTTGATTTTTTGGACGCAGCGGCAAGGCGGAGTTTTCCGGCACTTCATCGTTGCCTCGGTGGCTTTCTGATTCGCCTCGAGAGCTTAGGTTGCTCTTTCGTTGTTTCAGAGAGGCGCGAGACGATTGTGTTGCAACTCAGTGGGAACCATCTAGGATACGGAATATTTGAAACACGACACAATCCTGTGAAAGGCTGGGTATAATTGATACTTGTTAAAATAATTTGTTATTATTTTGTTTTATAGGTAGAGATCAACATGTATGGTGCAATTCGTGTATATGAACCCGATAAGTCGACGAAAATTCCCAGAAATTTACTCCGCGCGACTCCAATGAAGAGACATCTATAAGTTTTCTTGTTTTTGCCTCAACATGGTCATTTTCTAAAAACGGAAGCGCCGTTGGGTGAGATAAGTTGATGAGTACGTCGCTCGTTAAAGGCCAAACTTAGTAGCTAATGGCTGGCAAAGCAGCAGTGGCATACAACTCACTGGAGTTTATTTTTTGTATGTGAAAGCTTTTTGAAAAAGCTTGGGCAACTCCACAATGGAAAGGAAGCTTAAGGACAAGTAAATCTAAACGTCTTCTCTAGGCGTGGCGATTGGTGGAGAAAAAAAGTAAGCTTTTTTATATAAGAACAGTATCCGCTTACGCATTTACATTTGTTGGTGCTAACCTTTAGTTAACGATCAGGGCATCAGGCGTACATAAAGAACGCTGAACCCTACGAAATCGCACAGAAAACAAAGTCAATTAATTGCCTTTTAGCTTACCAACGAGAAAAAATACAGGAAATCAATTGACGTACTGACATTGGGTATGGTACAAAATAAAGCTATTGAGTGCAGGTATTAAATCTAGGTAGGTAGCAAGAACGTTTGAGATTATGCAAAAATTATTTTTCCATTAGTTGGGTATTATTTTACGAAAACAGAGGTATTCGGTTGTAAATAAAGGCTAACTTTTGTTAGTTTTACGTATATATACGACGTACTGGTATCGCTAGAAATACTATTTAACCGTTCTCTACTTCATGTGTATATGGCAAAAGCGATAAAACGCATTAGTGCCCGCCTTAATAATCGGTTGCGGTACGCACGTATGTGTTTCAACGTGGTGTCGAAAACCGTCCGTGTTCTGGGCTAGCATTCTCTTGAAGGTCTGTTCTGTGTTCTTACAGTAAATATTTCTTATCAGTTGCCGAAACAACACTCGTTAACGTTTAGGTGAACGCACCTCATCTTTTCTGCAATGAACAGAATACATGTGTTTGGCCCCCTAGATTTCGAACTCTGGCAATCTTCGCATTGAACCACCATCACGTTTCTGACCTACGGATATATTCCGAGACTGATATGGAGGCGTTTCGGTACCCGTTGCACAGTTATTTTTAATGCGTACATGTCCATCCGCTTTCCAAAACTTGCAAGTCATGATCGCGGTTTTAGCGTGGGTTCGAGCGATTTGCAAGAGTTCTGTGTTTCCTTTGATTTGATAAAGGGGAGCGTACCCCCGAAACATTTGCTCCAATACCGAGTCTAATGATGTTCCCGTTTAGATGAAAGTCAATCCGTCTCGCTCTTCGTAAGCTGGCCGCGTCAAGGCCTTTCAAGTCAATGGCAGGCGCTATTATATATTTGGCATCTAAATAAGCTTACTGTTTCGTGCTACACCGATGAATCGAACGCATTGCTCGGAAACAGTTTTGCGTACCGCAACGAACACTTGGCCCACTCCGCACACTACCTGTTGACTTTTGGCTTCGACTACAGGTACGTATCCGGTAGTCGTATGCAAATTTTGTTATGGCCCATGATCAGGCGGCAACGTGACAGTAAGCTACCTTACAAAATTCTCAATTTGGCAAGATTCCTTGATGTCTTCTAGAAACGTCTTGAACTTAAACGACAACCCGACACTTCGCTTACCCTGGGTCGGACCTCGACATAATATTCTATAGGGTGGAATAGTAGTCCCCGTGAAAACTGCTCGGACAGACGACTTTTAAATTCTTTCTACGTGGCCGCATTACTCACAACGGATTTGAGCCAGTATTAGGCTGACAATAGAAGTTGATTGGCAAGCGCATGTACAACCATAGATGGTCTCCGCTATTTTCAGCGTTATAATACACTGCGCGCGGCCAACAAATTCGGTGGTAACCCGCGTTTCTCTATATTCTCTATCAGGTGTTCCACCACGGCCTTTAGCCTCTCAGCTTTGCCCACCACATAAACGATCCGGGTTACAGTTTGCCCACACACACACACACACACACGCACATATATATATTTGTACATTTATTCGTTGATTAATTTTTTCACGAACTCCATGGTGTAGCGTAAGTTCAAGTTATATTGATGGCATTAATAGTAAACGGAATAGGCTTTGCGATAGACACACTCAATTTTACAACCGAGCAGTCGAATGGCTGCAACCCCACAGTCCCACCGTTGCACCCCTAACTGTGGCAAAGCTTTGGAAACTCATTAGCGTGTTTCGGTGAAGTGATTGCTCGGCAGGTTTGCTCTCATCCATTATTCTTGATCTCTGTATTCAAATACAATGAATTGACTTACACCTAACCCTATTTCCTCTAATCTTTCCACCGCTACCTAACCTTTAAAAGGAAAAAAAAACTTAGCAAAGTTACTTCGTTGAATTCATAGTAAAACGTCTGCTATCAGCGTTTTCAACATGCCTTCAACTCTGCTACAGCAAAACTCTTGCCGAAGCACCGTGCCCTTTGATTTCCTGCGCCGCAATTGCTTGACTCCTTATCAAACACAGTCAGACCTGTAAAGGAATAAATTTCTCTTCGCAACGGCCAACCTACTGGAAGAAATACGATGTGTTCCATGATATGTTTTCGTTTTCCATCTTTTTCAATGGTCTTCATTGGCCTCTTTCAAGCCCGGTTCGCTTGCAGGCTGCCTTGAAAGAGAATCGTGTGGTATAAACCATCGCGTCTATTGTCTCGTTATCAGGCATCTTTTGTCTAAGTCTTGCACAACAGGCGCAAACGGAATGTTTCAGATGTTTTTGCCGAAGAAAAACGAGGTGGTTACACAACACCCACATTCAGGGTTTGTTGTTGGGACATAGCATAGGTCAGGAATCGGTGCGTGTTTTCTAGTGAGAAGAGACGGACGACAGAGTGACAGCAGATGCAAGCGGGCTAATTGAGTACTATTTCTAGGTACCGTGAGACATGTAATTAGAAAATAGAGTGAAAAACGGAAAAATGATAGGTTTGTCAACCTCATGGTGAATGAATCGTCTGCTTGTAGCTCAACAAAGTATCTAATAATATATATGATGTTTGCGAGTCTTGGTTAAGATGGCGCACAGACAGAGAACTTGTTCGTTATCGTTCTCATTTATCCATATTTATTAGGGAATCAATCGAACCGAACTTGTATGTTATATAAATTGTTTACAGTCTGGTTAAGTGGGCAGGCGGAGAAGCACTTGTTGGACTAAAATAAGATAGCATGCTTTTGTCACGTAAAGGAGAATATATTATGACTAGGCCTGTTAATGTTTAGTATTTTAAAGTATTTTAAGGAACGTGATTAGCGAAATCCACCATTGTAACAGATGTCGAGAGATTTTTTAAATTAATATAGCGTTTACTATGAAAAATAGCTATATAAGTCGTTAACATCGATACTTACATATTTTCATCGATTTTTTCCCTTTTTATTAGCTCATGATAGTATCTAAAATGATATAGTTAAGCAATACACTTAGGGTAACGGTCCTTCACGAGTTGTTTCATTGTGTGGCCTGAATATGCAATACTTTTTTTTTTAACTCCAGCCCTATATCCAGGAGCTCAGCTGCCGTCTTTTTATCAGGCTTTATTTCCATAAGGTAAATTTAATCATTACGAATCGCTATATAAGGCCTCGTTGTGTGGATCTGTCCCCGCAGGCTCGTGCAGGACATACTTAATTGCGTCAAGCTGCGACGCGTTAGTCGGCTTTGGAAGCAGCAGAATCCTCTCTGACACGCGTATGAGGAGATGACAAGGAGCTCTAAATAGCACAGTATGATATTAGACCCACAGGGCTCTAAAGGATACCGGCCACAGAATGAGAACGTCCTGTCGAGCAAGCGCGGCCGAACTGTACTAGACTGAATATTAACGTAGCTTAAATATATGTAAAAAAAAAAGGAAAAAGCACGTCCATAGATACGGAAGCGCAGAGTAAGTGGCCATAAAACGCTCGTATATACGAACCTACGACAAAGTTTAGTCAGTCTGCGTAAATACATATACAGTATATACACTGTCTAATTTATGATTTGGGTTTGATCTCTAACAGAACAGAGCACTTACATCGCATTTTCGCAATGTAATACCATACCCTAATGAAAACCTTCCGAAACCCATCGGCTGGGCAAAGGAGACCTTGCCTGTTGCCAGGACTTGGGGCTAATAAACTTATGTGTAACTGGTCTTAGTGAATTTAAGGAGAATACTATCAAAAAATAATTTTAAACAAATGTATTACTATGCGTTGCTATTATTTTTTGGGTTGAGCATGATAAACGCCATCGAATACAGCCTTGCAGAAGCTCCTTATACATTTTGTAATTGCACATTATACTGAATCACAATATAACAAGAATGGTTACTAGAAAAAAAAATCTATAGTTAGTTGAAAGATATAGTATAAAATTCGAACCTATAAATCTTGTGCTCCTTTTCACAGATTCCATAGTTAATTTATTAACGCAGTGTCTGATGCTTGCAGTAATTCATCTGAGATTCGACAGTCTCGTGAGGTTCACAAAGCTTGAAGCTCAAATCGATACGTTTTTACGAGTATGGATCACTACGGCTTTAGAGACCAATCGCGTTTGGTCAATGAACCGCTACGGCGGTTCACCATAAATATCCAAATAGAAGGTCCAGGTATTCGTAGCTCAGCGGGAAAATTGCTTCGATAAAAGACGCGGTGAGAAACGTTGAAGTGATTAAAAAGTATCGGTGCACCCTTTTCTGGTGGTACGTGCAAATCGAGGCAAAGCTTTTTTTTGGACATATCATATTATTAAAAAAAAGAAACGATCTGCATGCTTGAATTTGCGATAACGCTGAATGCAAATGTTGAACGTGACCGTTCGAGGAGCACGATTGGCGATCAAAGGAAAAATAATTGTATGACTTCAATGATAATAAACCCACAAACACCGCTTAGATACCCCGGTCAAAGCAAACGACCCTCAAATGAGATAATTGTTTTTATAATTAAACATCGATCTTTTTTTTTCATCGTATCCCGAACACTTGTCCGCGAAGTAAGCACACCGGCTAGAGGGGTGAAATGATCATGATCAAGTTCAATTACAATACAAGTTTGAACCTATAATATATGTCGCCCCCGATACCCTTCAAACGATTGGGTACTTGAAACAGTAAATAAACAGCTTTGAGTACTTCATTAATGAAACTGAAGAGAGATTTCGTTGATCTAACTTTGACTACTAAAAGCTAAGTCTTCATGCAATACATATGAATTCATAGATACGATCAATTGCCCTAAGGGATGCACACGGACACTCGGTTCTTTCGGAACTTATGCATGCATAAGTGAGTGAACCCGTGTAGACGCAGTTACCATTTTAGGTTATCATCGAGATCCTATCCAGACTCAGAAATCACTTAGTAAATACTTGTACGCCAAACAGAACCGATAAACTAGCTGTCATCAGCACGCAGAAGTTCTTCACTACACTCTTGAACCTGTCTTGTTTCTAAGAATATATATGTTTTCGACTTGACAACTCTCCAGAGTATCGTGCCATTCTTAATATTGTATACATAGTTACATTGAACAGACGCCGGTTAGTATGAGTTATTAAATAAGCACAACCAGTAATCGTAAGAATAACGCTAGCTAAGCAATGACTAACACAAAATCACATGAACTTACAAACAACATGACAGCAGTATCGATTAAGTTATTCGATGGGTCTGCGTAAACTTGGACCGAGGATTCTGCGGCTCGAATTTGCCCTTCAACGGCATTTTCGATTTTTTGACGTTACAGCGCTATATGTTGTTGCTATGGCTATCTACGGTGTTTTCTGCAGCCTCATATTTAGCTGAACTCAACATGCAGTAGGCGTGCGTGAGCTCACCGGCGAAACGCAAAGGGACCACCATACACATATTCGCATCCTTCCACATCTTGCTACATACATTTAACACCATAGAACGATTAAACAACTGCGCCTGCCATGTGTTGTCCCTCATACATCACAGGCAGACCATCATTCGTGAGTGATAGATGAGTTCCTGTTGATGTGTAAGGTTATCACTTGTGCACATGAACTGGTCATTGAGGACAAATGATGTATCACTTAGAAATGAAGATGCGAATCCGGTCGATGGATATCGATCCTAAACTTCCTTCAATCTATCAACACAGACCGAACCAGCACGACCTAAACACTTCAGTATGTAGATCTGACCGTGAATCACTTCCCGATGGAAGCGCTCGATGTATTAATTGGACCTTACACTAAAGACCGGCCTTTTTGCCTATCTGGCTTTCGATAAGTTCGACGTCCCTAGATGTTTCTAAGTGTCTCTAAATGGTGCCAGAGAAACATCTGGTCATCACGCCGAAGTCATTCAGCTGCTTTCCGGATACTGTGGTTAGCGTCAGCCATTTGGATGTTTACTGACGTCTTCAATTCGTTCATCCGTTCGGATCAATCAAGTTGTCCTATTTCGTCCTAGGAGTCGGTGGTCTAGATTACGATGAAAGCATCTTCGTTCCGCTACAATCAGAGTAGATTTCTATTGAGTCTATCTGGGTGGCGTGCGGCTGGTCCTGCTTTCTAAAATTTTGAGGGGGCATTCCGTCGCATCTAGCACGTATATATTAAGCAAATCAGTCGTCGCAATTATGTGCAACTATTAATTGCGTATAGCTCAGAACAAAAGTCACCTCTATCGACTTGTCGAATGGATTTCGTTCCTGATCCGCGTGAGTACTACAACCATAGAGGATTCCTCCTGTTTGGGGCTAGAGTGTATGACCATGAGTGTAAGACCCACAAGGTCTGGGGTACACGCCCAGTCGCGTCAGACAAGAAGACTCTGAGATTGTTGGAGAATGTTACGACTAATAGATATTCCCTTTGGATTTTTTTTTAATGACCTACACTAAACGACAATAGACCGTCGTGTACTTTTGTGACTCTAGACTCTGTTCTGTAGTTCTCAATTTTTCTAAATTTCGAATAGCTCTTCAATCCTGCGACTGAAAAGAAAAGAAAAATCATATACGAGTTCGTTGAACTCGTTCGTCTACCTGATTCGACCATCGCAGTCACTTGTTGAAATAGCAAAGCTCGATCGGGCACAATTGAGTCGTCACTGCCGAGAAGAGCATGCATCAACACAAAATCAATAGCACCCAACGTTGTAAGTGGTCTATTATTTTTGTTTTTATCATAAAATCAAAAGCCAAAATCTCTCATATTAATGGCATTTCCTAGGCAGGCGCTGGCTCTCGCCAGCTCAATGCGTTTAGCCATAAGTTTGTTTATCAGAAGACATTATGGTGGTATTTAAACGTCCGGAACGTTCTTACTTATGGGATAAATAGTTTACCGGCTGTAGATATAATCTTTGAGAGGTGTTTTAATTTCACCTCTGTAGTTCGGTCTGGTACACCATGGATCTTACGGAAAGACCTTTAAAATAGTCAAGCTCGGCTGTAAGAACTTTATGCACAGACGCGCTGTCGTCTGCACATTTGACTATGAGGTCGCAAGCGATGGGTTTACACTCAAGCTACCCGAGTTCCTCAACGGGAATTATCATACGTGAACATGAACCAGTTGATTCTACATACTCCTATTTTTCTTGCATGGAACTCCTTTGCTGACGAATGCTTTTCTAGCTATTGCTTACAAAATTTCTTTTTGCACGCATTGTCCAATGAAGCTGTGTAACACTTCATCACATTGTTAATGACTCACCTCAGCTTAACCTTTATGACTCGGCAAATTTGTTCTATCTTTCCGTGCCTCTCCTGCTGCGATTAGCATCCTCTCGCTGACCACGTATTGCTAAGGCAAAATACGAAAAGGAGTTGGTGACAATAAGACATCAGAGGATGCGGTTGTGGACGACGCCCCCAGTGACCCACAAACGAAGCTTTGAAGACTAAAAGTTTCGTCACGGCATATTCGTATCACTCGAAATGACCTGGAGCAACTTAGCTTAATTTATAGTGGATGCACCTCCTTGTAATGTACGTATCCTGAAAGTGAACCTGCGTGTACAATTGCCAGGTGCACTTCTCAGAGGCTGAAATAAAAGTTTTAGCTTGGCGTCGGGTGCCGCCGCATTAGCTCAGCATTGCTTCGGACAGGTGCAGGTTCCTTCCAGTAGCATGAAATGAACCGTGTATTTACGTTTGCTTTTGAACTTGGACCATCGTACTAGTAAGCGTCATTAGGTTTAATAGGTGAACCCGTTACCATTACGGAGATTTCGGAGTAACCTCGGCATTAGTAGCCCAGCTCATGTCCTTCCGTTTACCTTAAATAAAATGGCGGCTTGACGAACAGCAATAGGCTCGTCGTACATTTTTTCTCGAATAATATAAGCTGTTCTTTCTCGTATTGACTAGAAAGTAACGATAGCGCTGAAGTCGTATCGGCGTGTTTGATGCTTTGGTGTGCACGGTTTGTGTGTCGAGAACAACAGGAAGGAATATAGAATTGGTTCATCTATTCTACGTTTATATATATAAACATGAATCTCTTGATATTTTTCCATTAAGATAGTTAATAAACAACTAACTTAGTACGCGTATTTCATACAATATCCGGGCGTGCAAGCTGGGCCATGATTCTTTTTCAAGACAGTAACAAATTACTAAGTCGTTTAACACGGCTTTTCGATGTCTAGAAGGCGCTGTCGACTCCCGGTTTGATAACAACAAGCTAACGTGGATATACAGACTCTTGCTTTACTCTATGATTTTCCTACCTAGATTAAAAGTACACTAGTGCGTCTATTGTGACTTGGAGCTGGCTGCCGAAGTCACTTTATGCAAATATAGGTACACACGGAAAAATAACATCGTAGCAATTATTAAGCCCTCTCTGTGAATAATTGTTGGGGGACTTTTTTTTATTTCGAAGACTGTCGAACGTTAATATCGTTTGGAATAAATCGACACAACGTTTGTTGTTACTTGAAAAATAGCATCGCAATAAAAACAAGTTGTTAAATAAAAATATAGTTTATTTCTCTATATCATGCTGTCTCCCGCAACTGCTTAACAGGTGCCCTGTGATTTAAAGTTTCATACGGAAGCTTTCGAATTTCCATAGAGAGACACGTGTAAATGAAACTAGCCGGTTCAATTAGCTGGCATCCATGAGTGTCAACTTTTTGGGCCTCGTTAATACTCTTTTTTACTCGTGAATCGTATCAATACAGATTGGTCGACGACTCAGTTCTAGACGTTGAAGGAAGTAGATCTCTCTGTAAGCGGCAAAGCAATGACGAATACAGCCATATTCCCTGCGTGTCCGGATTAATGGTCCTGGGTTTTTTAGGTTCGCAAGAACCTTATCGAGCGTAGAAATATAATACGAAAGGATACTGCGGTCATCGGTTTGAATTGCTTCTTTCCAACATATAGTGAACGCGTTTCGTAAACTCAGAGCGATTATATTTTCGTAACCCTGGCAAACGTCACTGGAATTAGGGGCCATTGTTAAATTGTTTATATACTTTTACTGGATCTATTAAATATCGGACGGTCAGCTCGACATTAGGTACGTTGGTCATATTAGGGAAATAGGGGTTGGCAGCTGGGCCTGTGGGTCAGCTTTTTAAAACGACCAGTCGTCGTATCGAGTAGGTATGTGCACCACGTGCAATGCATGTAAATGAACGATTTTTTTCAATATACCGCTCTGAAACACAGTTAATTCTCCCTGGCAATAATTGTGTCTGAGCGTGTTTGTTCAATGGAGCTTTTTCACTGTAGACTGATTCAATATTCCCTAAGCACGTTGTAGTGCCACTAACTGCTATATCAAGCGCATACGGCTTGTTCCTGTAATACGTTCAGACATGATCATTGGCCGAGAACAATATACCTTAGTATTAAATGGGTCACCGACGGTTTTTCCTTCGAGGACTTTGTCTCCTGTCACAAAAAAATTACAGTGAGCCATTGGGTAATCCCATTGTCTTAATGCAAGCACTAAATCCCATCGGTCTGTTCAGTTTTGACAGATTTTGATCGGACCGGATGTCTTTTCCAGACGTGCCACTTTATTCGCTTTCAAGGACGGAAATCGTATTAGTGCCTTGATCCCTGCGCATACAGCATTCGTCCTTCTGCACCTCGGTTAATCCCGGCCGAAAGCAATTCAAATATC